AAATGCATACTGTGTGACCCAATGTGCTGATTATGTACAAGTGGGAAAATTATTTTGAGCATTTTGCCAAAAATGTCTTTGATACAAACAGATGTAAGGGGTAGGATTAAATTACATTCTTAAGTGAATGTTCTCTCAGCACAAATTCAGTAAGGCAGAAAGTGATATTTGCAGGCATTAATGAGATCTGCTGTATTTTTATTTAAAACGATTTCAAATGCTTGGCCATTTTGTTGACTCAGCTTCACGTGCTGCAAATCAGGGAGCAGAAATCGAAGTACTCCTTTATTAATGTTCGTGTGTCTGACTGAGGAGATAAGTGACAGTAAGGAAGTGGGCAGTGTTATTTCTAAAAATGGTAAATATTCCAAGGCTCCTGAAAACGAGTCTATGGCACGCAGGCAGGCAGATTTTACAGCTCTGTCCAGAGCACAGAAGGAAGATAAATCATGGCCATCCCCCTCTCATTTTTGAAATGGTTCAACCCTGGGGTTTAGCTGAAGGACTTAAGGAGTTTTTGAAGTGCAAATAGACTGGTGAAGGGTAAACCTTTTCAGAGTTTCATTTAGATGGATTTTTTTTTTCTATGTGAATTTCTGGCACCAGCTGAGATCTGGAAGGCCACAGGATTTTTTTGTTTTTGATCAATCAAGCGAACAGGACTTGCTATGGGGGTGTACATTCTCTGCATACATATTGATCCTATTGTGTTTAAAAGTAGTTAATTTAATCGGGGCTTTTTGAAACCTTGCTCCCTAAGACTTGCATTAATGGAGTTGTCATTTCAAGGTCATGTTTCAGTGTCAATAACTTAATAGTAATGGCAGTAGTAGCAATATTTCAGTTACTCTGTTAATATTGAATTGTGTTAGAATTGGTTTTACAAAAATATTTTAAAAAATAGTTTCAATTGAGAAATGTTATACTCATCAAACAAGGCATTTTCAAAGCAGTCTGGTATTAGTAAATGCATCAACGCAGGTAGTTGTGTTACTCTTCATAACTGCTTAGGTCAGGTCAGTGTCCTTCGCCTGATCTATTGTGTAGAAAGTTGGACTCCAAGGACATATTTTACACCTTGTCCTTTCTTGCAAGAGATTTATAAAGTCAGAGGAATTACTCAGAGCTTCACATTGTAGTTTTGACCTTTTACCTTTCTCTTGGTCTCATTTACCTAAAAGATGGACTGCATATTAACTATACACACTTCTCTCTACTGTGATCAATATTTGGAGTTACAACATGTAAAGATTATCTCTATGATAAGACAGCTATCTGAGTATAGATTTTGTAGGGCAGCATATATTTTGCTACTTTTGGTCTATACTTGATGCCAAGACATCAAAGTAATCAGAGTACGATTTCAGAGTGATGTGTACTGATCAGGCCAGGCAGTGAGGTAGAAAGCAGAGTCTTTTGTGCAGCTGTTTCAGTCGTGTCCCAGTATGACAGAGGTTCCTACGTTTTTTTTTTCCCAACCGAGAGGGACGTTATCAAACCTTTTGGTGCAGGGATCATTCAGTGGCTCAGAGTGGGAGAGCAACCGTGAAATTAGGATGCACCTCTGTTGTTGGGATGCTTCCACAGTTTCTGTTCAAAAAGGACCAAATGTAGCTGATGTTATTTTTTTCTTTTTGCTGTTGATATGCAGAGAGATTAACTCAAGTCCTGTCAAAAGTATGGCTGCAGAAGTGCATATTGCAGTTTTCTCCAGACCTTACATTAAACAGAGAACTTTTGGTTAATAGACCTCCTATACTTTGTGTTACAGCTCTGGCTTTTGTGTCCATTAGCCTCATGTGCTGTCAATCTCATGTACTGTAATGATGGTTATTTCCTGTAGTGTTTGAAAACCGATCATGAGATGCTGTTTGAAGCTTTCCTGAGAGAGAAGTAGGTTTCTCTGGATGGCACTGTAGATGAAGGGATTCTCTGAATTTGTGTTATCACTTTTGCTAGTATGTCACTGGGAGATGCTAATATGCCCTCCTCTTTGTTGAGTAAGAGTTTTACAGAACCACCCAGAACTGCTTCTCTCCCACTCAGAAGTCGGTTTGCACCAACTCGATAAAAGACTCTGGGTGTATTTTGATGCAGAGATTTTTGCTTCAATCTGATGAGGTGTGAGTTTTAGCTTGCAAAATAAATCACTCTAATTTAAAAAATTAATAGTAATTTAAATGATATGTGCTCAAATGTCAAAGCAGACTTTGCAAATTATTGGTTTGTCAAGCAGCTGTGATGTTGAAGTAACATAACTCCCATTACACTATTTGTTCATCAAGTACACTTGCTTGTACTGTGATTATGAATTCCTATAGAACTTAACTGAGCAACAGCTGGTCTGTTTGCTTTCTATGCCATGTGGCTGAAACTGTTTCCAAACGCCTTCTAAATTTTGTAGGAATTTTTCAACAGTTTTTATACCAAATATCTCTATTCTTTCGTTTTGATCACAGGCAAATTTCACAAAATCCTTCCATAGGTTGCTAGGATAAAGAAAGTAAAAAGGCCATCAATGCTACTAACTACAGCTGCAACAAAACACATACTCTTCTTGGCCTTTGATTGTGTCAGATTCCTTTTCTTTGCAATTGTCCTTTTTTTTTTTTCTTTTCCACTTGAGAGAGGTTTATGGTGCCATGTCCTTCAGGACAGCCCTGTCTTAGGGTTGAAGTTGTATTTCTCTCTGAGTTCCTAGAGGTGATGTTATCTTTTGTTCCCTTAGCAGCGTGGTCATTCCTAAGAGCATCTGTCACTTGGGGCATTGTAAGATGGATGAGTCTCAAGTGAACTGCTGGTTGAAGCAAATGGTGAAAATAAGAGAAGCTGAGGGGGCTGGGGTCGTCAGAAGGGACAGACAACAAGGAAGCTCTGTTAGAAATCAAAAGTAAGCCAGGCAGTAGTGGAAGGAAGAGCCAAGATGGATCACACCCCATGAGTCTTGGAAACTGAAGACAGATGTATGCTGAAGAGACCTGTCTTGGTGAAAATGCCGTAGTCTTTTTCTTCCTATTTGCAAATAAAGGAGGATCTGAAGGGTACGATCTGAAGATCATGTGAAGAAATTGTGTTTTTGCATCATGCTCTAAGGCTAAGACAAATCAATGCTGCTGTTAACCAGCAGAAAGGTTGCCGATTTTTTTTGCATTTCTTAAATAGCATTTGAAATCTTTCAATACCGAGTGTGTAACAACAGAAAATCAAAGCTGAGCTTATTAGTAGATTTGCTTCTGGAAGAGTAGGAAACTTGAAATTTGTGGCAATTTGGCTTTCAAAGGGTGCTTAATGTTTTAAATAGTTTCAGTACAGTATCTCTGATGCAGCCTAACTGACTAGTTCAGTTGAACATTGTAATGGAAAGAAAGTGGTATCAAACAAACAAACAAACAACATACCCCAAGTCCCCCAAAACTGCTCCCAGCACGCTAACAAGTGAAGTCAGAGCGCCAAACCGAGCAGAGGTCTGTGTTTGCAAAAGCAGCTGGCTGCAAACAAAAGGCGCAGCCCAGTGCGTGTCAAGGTTTGGGAAGGGTCTGGGAGGATCTCGACTTGAAAAATTATTTTGTCACACTATTGGCATTGGTCCATAAGGGGAAGCACTGGTTGAAAGGCGAAGAAATTAAGATGATTAGAAGCTTTAAAGCTTCACAAATGGTAGAGTATCTCTCTTCTCAATGGATGTAAATAATAGATGAAAGACTAAGGGTGACAACAAAGGATCAGGGCGTTTAAGAGAATGTGTGCAGCCTGAATAGCGGTCTGTGGCCTAGGGCCAAAGGTCTTAGCTTTGAGTGTAATTAGAAGAAAATACAAAAATGTCATTACTAGCAGGTGAAATGTTCAGCACGTGTCCAAAAAATAGCAATTTCAAACCCAGGAGCTGCTGGAATTGGATTACTGCCGTTCTGCCATCATTAAAGTCCTCGCAGAGTACTCTGGTTTGGTCGGGAGCTGAGCATGTTAACCTTGTGGGCCATCTGTGGTAGATCTGCTGCGGGCCTTGCAGGGATGTGGGGCATGAGTAGAGAGCTGTGTACGTGTCTTCTCCCAGAACACAATTCCGAAGAAAAACATTTCCTTGGTAAGAGGTAAAGGCTAGAGTTGCTTTCTTCAATAGTCTAATTTCTAAAAACAGGAGAAGGAAGAAGTTTAAAGCTATTTCACTTTGCATTTTAAACCCTGGGTTCTGAACTACAGGCATACATCTGAAAGAGTTGTATTCACTCTGTTCTTGACAGCAGGTGTAAAGGTGTGGTAGCAGCTTTAAGCCCAAAATCCTATCTGTGAGCAAGAATCTTTTGAAATAATCTTGAAATCTTTTCACAAAATATTAAGAAGTCAAACCAGCGTGTATGCCTAAAAGTCTTGTCAGAATCTCACTGATGATAACTTAATTTCATGCTTTTCCTGATGTTAATTACTGTTGTGTACACCCCTAAGTATTTTAGGAGATACTGTTCTGCTCACTACTTGCTCTACCATTGTTTTCATTCTTTTGGGTATTTCAGGTGTATTCTCTTTTATGAATTGTCATTTCTATTAGAAATACTTTCGTTTAAGTACCTTTGTGGGATGTCAAATAGGAGAGAAATCAGCAAATTCTGACTTCATTTTGAAAACTGATCTCTAGTTCAGAATAGATAACCAACCTCCCATTTACTTGGCTTCTTTTTAAACGAGGAGTCAAATAATTATTTCTACGTTATCATTTCTTTTTGATGTTTTTGTAACAGTTAAATGTTTCATGCTGATGAGGTAGGTTCCTAATATTGCATATGGTGACTTCAGCACCAAAAATATACAGATATAGCGACAGACTTGGACTTTTCCTCTGGTAGAATGCACAGGAAAAAGCAATGCAGATTTAACCGAGTATGCTCTGTTCCAGGTGTGGATAGGCAGGTTTTTTTTTTGGGTTGTTATAAAATACATGCTGGCATAAATCATTCTAATGTGTGTTTTTGTTTTTTGTTTTTTTCTCCCTTTTTATTTTTCAGGCGGTTAGGAGTTTTAAGCAGTTTCGCAGCAAGACTTCACAAACTCTTAGCTGCATCCTTTAATCATGACAGCATTTCAGATAGGCTAAAAGGAATCTGATAAGGTACTGTACTCCTCTTTCCTCATAGAGAATATGTGGGATGTTTGTGTTTAATGTTTGAGGTTTCAAATGCACTGACTACATTTTAAAAATGCTGTAGACAGTAAATTTCTATTTTGTTTTGCTTTGATCGTGTATATATCTTAAGTTCTCCAGAGAGGTCTGATGTACACTTCTATTTTTTTCTTACATATCCACTGTGAGGTCAACTTTGTTATTTAATAGCAGTTCTTTTGAAGCTGTAACATTTTTCTTCTGATACTGTACTTAGAAGCACTGCAAATACCTAAGCTACCAGCTAAATATGAGTTTTATTCACTTGGAGAGTGGGTGTTTGTTTGTTTGTCCTCTCAAAGGGCTTAAAACAAATGGGAAGAAGAATGCAGATCTTTGTCATGATCAGGATAGATTTGTGCTTCCAACTGAGATTCTCACAAGTGTTTTTTGTGACTTCTTAAAGGGGGAGGCTTGACTCAGTACACAGTATTGGGCTTGCATAGCTTCTTGTTGCATTTAAATAGCTAGTGTACCCAGAAGGCTGAAGATGCTTTATGACCTCTCGCATCCCTGGGGCAAGGGGGCGGCATGGAGGCCTAGCAGAGCGAGGGGGTCATTGCCACCACCTACGTCCTGAGTGGCCCCCGCAGGGTCCCAAAACCTGCCTGCAGGAAGGTTTTACTTGGCAACATCTGGATCGTGGTAGAAGTCAGTAAGCGGGGAACCTCCAGCGTTTTGCTTCCCTGGGTGCCTGGAAGATGCAACACTCGCCTCCTTGATGGGGGGGAGGCAGATTCTGTGGCCCTGAAGTTAGGCCTAAACAATTGCGGAGGTCAAAGGACAGCTGAGTGCGGTCAATGAGACACCCTGGGGTGTATTTTGTTACTTAGTAAAAGGAGCAGCATCCTAAAACCCTAAAGGATTCTCTTGAAAATCTGTGTTGTGAAAAGGTTTTATGAGTCTGATGGCAAAAAATGCTGATTTAGCTAAGGAATGCTTTCTTTTGTCTAAATGAAAGGCTAATCCTTACCAAATGTTGGCAGCTATTATAGTGCGGTCAGTGCGGGTCTGAAAGAACAGTTAGAGTAGAAGTGTACTTCGGTATCCCAAATGTTTATCATTTTATTGGTTCTATAACTGAAAACATTCCTGAACTTTCACCTTTTGACCCTAAAATTTATATGTCATAATCGAAAAGTACGAAGTAAAATCCATGAGTTAGGAATTAAAAGACTGCTTCTTAAGGAGCTGTCCTATCCTAGTCACTCTGTGTCTCCTCAAAGATTTGCTTTAGATTATCAGGATTCAGCCTTGTTTAAATTATAACTTTTTAATCTCCTAACACTTACTAATTGGTTGAAAATATGGGGTTTTTTTGCTGCTCTTGAGCAATTTTTGTTGCTCATGTTGTAATGCTTGCAGTGAGTTTTAAAGGATAGTTTTTGAGTAATTAATTCCAATAATTTATTTAGCACTATCTTTCTTCAGATTGACAGATTATTAACGTTTAAACATTTGTCACAGAAACAGATAAGAAATCAATGTCAAGAACCAAGACTTCGTAAGTAACAAGAAAGGAAATGCAATAGCAGCTGTCTTTGCAAGAAAGGTGGTGGGGGAAGGAGCGTGTGTGGCTGAAAAGGTTTAGTGCTTTTTGTTTCCCTTTGGAAAGGGGGGTGGGCATGGGCCACAACCCAAGATCTCAGACTCCTTGGCCCTACTGTCATACACAAACAGTCATTGTCAAATTAGGAAGAAAAAGATATTTGGGAGCCAGTGGTAGCATTTTTATAGTAACTAACATGGTGGTTTCTCATGATCTTTAAAAGAACACTGTAAGAAGAGCGAAGAAGAATAAACTGCATAATTTTCAAGGGGAAAAAAAAAAAAAAGAGCAAAGATGTTGACAAACAGTTTTGTATTTGATTTTTTTCCCTTTTATTTTTGGGAAGAAACTTCACTGTAAATTATGGCTCTCGAAAGAGCTTAATTTTTAAACTCTTTAAAAATGCTATTTACAGATGCTTAGCATTGATTCATGTCAAGGTTAAGGCACCTTTAAACAAATAAAGTTGTGAATGAATAAAGCTACTAAAAAACAAATCAAGATATTTGTATAGCATTCAAGTTGCTACAAAACTGACACATATTCTGAATTTCTTTTGATAACCACATCAAATCATCAGGAAATGATAGCATGTGTGTTTGAGGGGTACACAAGGGAGTGGATAGATTGGGTGGGGATGGAAGGTGAAGCCTTAACTTTGACTTTCTAGGCCTTAGCTTAATTCTTTTGCAGTGAGGCAGTAACAGATGAAGAAAGAATTAGTGATTTATTTATCCATGAGATTGGACTGACTTTTGCCATAGGAACTTGATGGGATGTCTGTTCAGCTTTAAAAATACGGATATCCCATTTTATATATATATCTATATGAAATGAAGAGATATTTAATATCAGCTTTATACTTAAAACATTTTGGGGAGTATATGTGTGAGCTGGAAAACTAACTTTTAAGATCCTATACTTTAGTTAGATAAGATATATAACATGGAAGTACATGTATTATTAAGATTTTTTTTCATCTGCTGTTCTGTAGAGAATGGCTCTGTATCTTATTAAGATATTTCTTTTTTTTTTTTCCTACCCAAAGAAGATTTTAGCTCACAGTAAGTATTTTGCACGTAGTACTTTTCTCTGACTGCTGCAAAAGTAGAATATAAATACTGGGAAGGCTATTTTCTTCATACTGAATGTCAGTATTCACTGGAAGTTTTATATAAGTGCCTTCAAGAGTGCATAGGCCCAGTAAATTTTTTGTATTACCAACTCACTAAACAATAATAGCAACTTTGGGAAGCAAAATTGCCTCTGATAGCATGTTTATGTTGCAGGTAAATTAAGCCCAGCTTATGAACATTCTTAAGACTTTTCATTTTGGGAGAAAAACAAGTAGAGAGCACATCTGATGCCTCCAATAAATAATAATTTTAGTATCACTTTTTCTCCTTCCAGGACATAAAGACCCCATACACAGGTGTCAGAACAAGTAATGAATTGCATCACAGAACAAATATGAGCAATAGAATTACGAAACTCTTCTTCTTCTATTGGGGTGTTAATATGTAATTATTGATTTTTTGCATCTTTTAGGTAAAGATTAACATTTTTCTTTGTCAGATTTAAATGGTGTTATATAAATGCCCAGAAATGGGTACATCCCTCAAACACCTATTGGGATTCCGAAGAGACGCCTCAGTGGCAATTTTCTGTTTAGATATATCCCTTTGAATGACAAAACTGTTCTTTTTAGATACATCCCTTGGATATGATGATGTTAATGTTTTGTTCTGTTGATTACCTGTTTGTGGTAATTTTCATTTTACTGAAAGGCTGGATGTTGCAGAAGGCCTAGCAGTGATGTGCATCTTTGATCTCAAGCAGGACTGCCTCTGGTAATTTCAGAGATGCTTGGCAGAGCTTTGTTTATTTTACAGAAGAATTCATGGTATTCTGGGAAGGGGAGAAAGTAGTCAGCTTTGACACATGATAAACACATGTTTCGGGGAAGGAAAAAGGACTCTACAAAACACAATTTGAAGTTCATTTCCAACAAGATTCTGTGGGAGGCGTTTGTCTTTTTAATAGAAATTCTATCCGTGATATAAACAGTCTTAGCAGGTAGGCTGCAAAAAATGTCCATACAATATTTGACTTAAGATTGTGTGTTTAAGGTGATTGCTATGGTTTTGACCTATGCAAGGTTTTGTGTCTGTTCAATGTTTGCTTTTTTAAGAGAAATGGCTGTGAAAGCAGCTTGCTTTATTATTTGTTTGCCTCTGCATTATTATTAAAAGAGGCTGCAGAAAAAAGATACTACATACGTCTCTCAACCTGTAGACAGCATGGGAGCTTCAGATTAGAAAATAATTGCTTGTTCCTTTTTAAAAACATATACTGAGTTCTGATGAGGAGAAATGAAACCATTTTGACCTATTCAAAAACAGTAGTTTTGGGAAGAGTTGCTCAGGAATGTGCTCTGAGAACTTCTGACAAACATCCTGGCACAGTCTCTCCGCAACGGAAGAGAGGCTCCTTTCCACCTCTGCTGGTTCATTTCCTAAAAGCAAGGATAACACTTTCTTTGGACTTGCCTTGTTTTCAGTCTGGGCATTAGGGAAGAAAAGAGACAAATTTGTTTTAAAAGAGGATTGTAACCAATAACCCATGTATGCATTTTTATACAAATGCTTTAGCGAAGGCAGTTTGATTTCTCAAGACGTTATTTATTAGTCCTTGATTTATTTGTACTTTTTAATCTAGACATCTGTGTTATGGATTTGTTTAATAATGTGAGAGAGAGAAAGCAGCAAAACTTAGTGCTTTTGGCAGGATTCTACATTTTATGGGTGAAGGAGATTTGGGAAACAGAGCTTGTGAGGTTCTTGGCTGCCAATTATCCTGGTTTGTGCCACATCACAGCCATGCTCTGGCTGTGGAGCCCATCTTGTTTTCAAGGTGCTAACCCCAGCAGAAGAGCACTTCTGAGGTGGCTTTCTGGTTGCTTACTTGAGAAACTGCCACACGATGACTGCAGTTCTGCTGGCTTCAAGGGGTAAAAATGAGCTGCTTGCAGCAAAGGAAGGGATGCAGCTTACAAAGTCCTCCTGCAGAGCTTCAGTTTTAGTATTTTACAACTGTCACAAATCAGAACAGGCATGATGTTCCTGAAGAATCAGATTGTCTGTTTGGAATGTTCCAATAGCCAACAAAACCTGTATTGCCATTATGCTTCGTACTGGGATTTCCTTATTTTTATTTTTGGTGTCAGTTAGTACATGTTGTTGGAATTAAGGCTATCTCTGCTAGATGCATAGAAATTATTTTCTATTGCTTGGCAGTAGATGGTGTTCCTGGTTCCTTTATTTAGTAGTTAGCATGTGAGTGGGGAAAAGCTGCCTATGTGAATCTTTAGTAGGCATTGTAGTACCTACACCCTAGAATT